ATATTATTTATTTAATATATTTAATAATAATTATTATTTAATATATTATTACATGTTTTTAAAAATTAAACCACCAAACGCAGTTTCAATTTTTTTTAAAACTGAAATCAATCTCTAAATAAAACTACCAAATGCATTTTTAGAAATAATTTAAAAATGAAACTAAAAACGTTTTCATTTTCATTTTCGTACAGAAAATAAAAACGTTTTGGAACCAATTCCAAACGCACCCAAAGTGTTAGAATCAGTTGAATCCCTTCACGTTTGATTCATGAATTAAAATCGTGTGATTAGAATTATTTTCGATTTACGTGTATTTTTTGTGAGAGAAAATACTGTAACGAATCATGAACCATGATTAAAATCATGATTTGAATGCTCCAACCAAACGTCCATGTCCAAACCAAACTAACGGCTCTTGTTTTATTATTTCTCGAGAAGTCAAAGCGTTAGAAAAGGGATGGGATGACGATTAACATATGATGTTAAGCACAATATGTGTGTGATCTACACATAATGATTAATATATAATATCATAATACTTATGACGGTCATTTTGATGGTGACGAGACTTTTTCATATTTTGGAATTGGATCTTGAAAAAGAGGGGGAAAAATAAAAAAAAAAGTTCCAGAGTAAAACACTGTATGGACACTGTATTGATAATCAAGCAAATAATAAAATAAAAAGCAATGCGTATACATGTATAGTTCATATCCTACTCGTACGTATATGACACAAATGGTATATATCTATACTTTTTTACTGTATCATGCATTGTGATGATAATCAACGTCATGACACAAGCATTGTTACCCGTTAGTTGTAGAACATATTTTTTTGGATGAGACACCAATTATACTATAATATATATTATAAGAGGATTCGATCTTTTGTGTTTCTCAACGTTTGAAAAATTTCGTGTCCCCTCACTTTGACTTTTACCGTTTTGCCAGTAGTTTCTTATTCCTTCATTTGTTTTTTGTTTGGCCGTTTTGATCATTTCTGCGGCATATATTAAATGCCTTAGAAAACTTCTCGGAGAAGTTTTGTTAACATTTTTCTTTCCTTTTTGCCTCTCTTTTTTTTTTTGTGTATTACTCATTTAGTATTAATTGAAGTAAGAAAGTGTACTTTAAAAGTGCACTTTTAACCAAAACAATGTAATTTTTGTTAAAAGTGTACAACTTTCTTACTTTTTCTTTTGAGTCTTTTATTTTAAGTTATTTTTTACTTTTCAACCTAAAACTTATTATTTTTTTTATTGTAGTCCTTTTAACTTTTTATTTTTTTCTTTTTGCCCTAAAATTTTATTTTCATTTTAGTTCCTTTTACCTTAAAATTTATTCATTTTTCCCTTTTAGTTTTTTTATTGACAATGTTTCTTTGCTTCTTGTCCTAAAACTTTTTTTACCTTAAAACTTATTATTTCTTCATTTTAGTCGTATTTTATTTTTTTACTTTTTGTCCTGAATTTTTTTCCTTTTTATGTTCCTTTAACCCTAAAATTTATTTATTTCTTCATTTTAGCCCCTTTTGACCTCTTTTTATTTTTTTACCTGCAACTTTTTTTTTTTCATTTTGGCTCATTTTACCTTAAAACTTATTTATTTCTCCATTTTGTCCTTTTTTCTCCTTTTTTTCCTAAAATTTTATTTTATTTTATTTTTTGTCTTGGTTCCTTTTACTCTAAAATTTAGTTATTTCTTCATTTTTTTTTTCATTTTTTGCCCTTTTTTTATTTTTTCCTAAAACTTTAATTTTTTCGCTTTGATTCTTTTTGTCCTAAAATAATATTTATTTATTCATTTTAGTCATTTTTTAACTTTATCTTAACTTCTTGTCCTAAAACTTATTTGTTTTTCTTATTTTAGGGCTTGTTCTTTTGGAGTTTAACTTGAGTATAATTTTTGAGTTGAATTTGAGTTATAACTTGAGTTGAACTTGTAACTTGAGTTTGTGTTTGGTTGTGTACATTTGAGTTATGGTTTAAGATAAGAATCTTTTTGAGTTTGTGTTTGAGTGAGTTAAAACTTGAATAGTATTTAGATAGTATTTTAATAAAAACTCAATGCTGATGAAAAATTTTAATAGGGTATATGGGTCAAATTTTATTCGTCTTTTCGTTGTTAACGCATAGAAAAAAAAATCAACTCAATCAGAATTAAAACGAAAAAGTTATAGCATTTTTAAGAATAGAAAAAATATTGTTCATTAATTTGAGTTCAAGTTTCTAAACTCGAGTTGAAGAGAAAACTTGAATTCGAGTTTTAGTCCTAAACTCGAGTTTGAACTCGAGTTTAAACTCGAGTTTAAACTTAAAAGAACATGAACTCAAATAAAATTATAACTCGAGTTATTTTTTTTTTGAATTTTTCACTCAAAAAAACAAACCGTTAGTTTTTCATTGAAATTTTATATTAAGATTTTATATGTTTTTAATAATAATATGACAATTAATTAATCACAATTCCACGTGCCTAGTTCTAATTTTATAGGGAAGATATCTTCTTTTTACCTTTCTCCACCGAATTATTTGTGAAATATGTATATTTGCATTGTTATTTACCTCAGCAAATTAACTTGATTTCCAAAAAGAGACTTTTCTAATGAATAAAAATAAGGGCAAATTTTGGATTTTAATAAAATAATTTTGAACCTCTTTATTTTAGCAAGTGGTTTAAAACCCGTGTAGTTTAAACTACGATTCACATCCAAACACCATTTTGAACCGACTCGTCGGTTCAAACAGCATGAACAAAAAAAAAGGCCAGGAGCTTATGTAATCAATATTTGACTAGAATTAAAAAAATTAAGGAATGGCACCTACTTCACATAAAATATTAAAACTGAATGCAAATTAATCGCGAATCTGGAGTGTCGTTTAACAATAACAAATAGATAGTGAACCACAAACTTCAATAAGAAGTCTAAGAGGTTGTTTAGTTGGGGGATTCGTACCCCAATTCGAATCATGATTCATAGTTCGTTACAGTGTTTTCTCTCACAAAAAATACTCGTAAATCAAAAATAATTATAATCTTATGATTCTAATCCATGAACTAAATGTCTCCTAAATATAAAAAAAAAAAAAAAAAAAAAAAAAAAAAAAAAAAAAAAAAAAACTAAAACACCAGTCTTGACATAGGAAAAAGACGCCCGTTGTTTACTTGATCTTCTTCTTTGGCCTCAACTGAAACAAAGGAACAAAGAGTCTTGAATTAGAAAACAACAAGCAAGTGAAAAAAAAGATAATTATACAGAATCCGAGGATAAGGCGGAAGAAAAAGAACCTGATTGCTATGACCGCACTTCTTCTTCCGGCAGTTTACAGCCCTCGGGTGCAAACGAGCATAACATCTAGCAAGCCAAAGAAATAAAAGAATGAATAAACAAAAAATTATTCCCTGTTAAGAACTTAAAATATTCACCATCTCATTGATGGAATAAAAACAGAAACAAGAGCAGATTAAGAAAAATATTTGGGAAACAAAATGACTAACATCACCATGCAACAATTACATGATGTACCAAAACAAAGATCAACAGCACTTAAGTACAGTTGACAAACTTGAAACATGGATATTTATATTGGAAACCAGGATGCCCTCTGTTGCAATTAAATAGCAAGAAAGGGTTCAACTAATGGTTCCGATTCTAGAGTGCAAAGCAATAAATTGGTTAATACAACATTCCGAAACGCAAAAAAAAACTACCATGTGGTATTATTTCAGATGAAAAACAACGGGATTGCAACAGTCAGCTGTTTGAAAGAAAAAAGTGCAAAACAAACCTAAAATCATGAAAATGTTGGATAGTGTTTCTCAAAAGTACTAATACGAAAACGGTCACTTCTCTTGTACATATATCAATGGTTCCCAGAACAAGATTATAATGTCCCACCCATGAAAATCAACTGCAGGTAACTGAGACAGCTGACAAAGTTGAGTAAATGGAATTAATATTGGGAACGATTATAACCTCTTTTCCACTTGTACAGAAAAAAAGGCTATTTCATACCCTCGGAAAGCAGAAGAAGTCCATCCAATCCATCCAAAAGAAAGAACAGGATGCAAAAATAAAAATAAAAAAGCTCACCACTACCATAATCATGATCATAACTTATTTTCTACTTGTACAGGAAAAAGAAAAAGGCTAAGTTCCACCCCCTCCAGAGAATGAGGAGGTCCATCTGATCAATCGGAACAGGCAAAACCAAAATCAACAAAAAACTAACAACTAGCATAATGCAACCAACGGTCGGTTTCACTAATGAAACACAGCACATTAATCACTAGTCACTACCCATACAACCCCTGCATTTCCTTTAAATCTCTGCATAGTTTCAATACCATTTCTCTCGTGTAAAACCAATCAGAAACACCTACTACATCAATTACAGTGCAAATGTCGTCTTTTCCCAAAAAAGAAAAAATGTTCCACACTTGAAAAATCATATAAAAAAATTGGAATGTTAGTTCTGGCGACAACAATAAAGTAGCACAAAGTATGTTATTTTCCCGTTGGTTAAGTGAGAAATGGGTCCAAAAAACTATAAACTAAAAGCATATACATGTGTATATATATACACACAGATACACACGGGACAAAAAGAAAAAGAAATCAAAGAATGATAGCAGAGCATACTTGCGGCAAATCATCTTATCTTGGTTGTATTTGCGAGCCAAAGCCATCAGAGAAGGCTCTATAATCCCTCCCCTAAGCCTCAACACCAGATGAAGCGTCGATTCTGGCTTTACCAAAAAAAATCAAATCAAATCAAACAAATCCAACAAAAATGATAAAGCAAAATAAAGATAATTTCCTTTTTTAATTTATTTCAAAGCAGACCTTTCTGAATATTGTAATCGGCCAAAGTGCGACCGTCCTCAAGCTGCTTCCCAGCGAAGATCAATCGCTGCTGGTCCGGAGGAATACCTGCTCAGAAAGCTTCGTCATTTAGGGCTCGTTTGGGCAGATTGAAAGAAGAAGAAGGAGAAAGTACCTTCTTTGTCTTGGATCTTGGCTTTGACATTGTCGATGGTATCGCTGCTCTCGACCTCGAGAGTGATGGTCTTTCCGATTAGGGTTTTCACGAATATCTGCATCTTTGCAATGTCTCTATTTGTCTGACGAACAAACTTTGTTTTGCAGAGGCGTTGGCGTTTTATCTTATTGGGTTTCTAGGGTTTCGATTCTTCTTCGGATTCTCATTATCTCTCGTTTTTGGAAGCGGTGGGCTAGGATTCGGATCTGGATCAACGACCCGATTCATCTCGGGTCATCACATGAAGGCCTGTTTATTTCCGTTTTTGTTTCTATTTTTCACAATTTTCAAGAATAAAAATTGAAAACGCGTTTAGTATAAAATTTTCTAAAATCAAAATTGAAAACACCGTTTTCATTTTCTCTTTTTTTTTCATGTTTTTGAAAACAAATTTTTTCCGTTTTCATTCCCCCTGCAGTTTTCATGTATATAATCATGTTTATTTAATATATTTAATAATAATATTTATTTAATATATTATTATTTATTTAATATATTATTATTTTAAATATTATTACGTATTTTTAAAAATTAAACCACCAAACACAATATCAGTTTTTTTTAAACTGAAAATAATCTCGGAATAAAACTACCAAACGCATTTTCAGAAATGATTCCAAAATGAAAATGAAAACATTTTCGTTTTCATTTTCATACAAAAAACAAAAACGGTTTGGAATGAATTCTAAACGCACCCGAAATTGGGTGGTATAATCTTAACAAATATCCTTTAAAAGTACGTGAGTCAGGATTTTTATCATTTACTCTAAATTTATAACTTTTTAAGTTAAATAATTACACTAACAAAAAAGTATTTATCAAAAATAAGATAAAGATCCACACTCATACACTCTCAAGATTAAATTCTTCATTTGTTTAATTAGGGGCGTCCATGGACCATGACACGAGCCTCATTCATAAGACTTTGGAAAAAATGAAAAGGGAAAATACCCAAAATACTACCTATATTTTGTCAAAATATCACCTTCATCCCTCTTATTATGCAAATGCTTAAAATACTCTCTATATTTATAAAAGACAACTCAAAACATCCCTGAAACAGTTAAATTTTTTAAAATGCTAGGATTACCCTTTCCAATTCATATTAAATGTTATTTTTGATATGATTTAACTAAAGTTTTAAATAAATTTTTTTTAAAATGCTCAAATAAAAATTCTAATCAAAGAAATACTTCAATTATTTTAAGAGTTTTTCATTTTTTAATATTGATTTTATTTAAGATTTTGGTTTAATAATGTTTTAAATTGCATTTAATAAAGATTGGGAATGATAATTTTTGTATTTAAAAAAAATTAATTGTTTTAAGGGGTGTTTTGGGTCTGTTTTTATAAATACATGAGATGTTTTGGGTATTTGCAAAATAAGAGGAGAAAAAGTGGTATTTTAACAAAACACAAAGGGTATTTTGGGTACTACCTCAAATTAGAAATACCACTTAATATAGTAAAACAATATTATTGATGCCATTTCACTCAAAAATAAATAATTCTCATTCTATTAATAAAAATAAAACAAAATACCAGGCGCCTACTTATTTAGAATGACAAAAAGGGCTACCCCCTATTCAAACCGAAAGAAGTACCTCACCTCACTTATGAGAGTTTGCTTTTCTTTCATCCCATATTCGACACATCCTAAGCCTTATCATGACTTTCATTCTTTCTTGTCTACTATTTGCTCCCCGGCTAGTGCACTATTGGTGTCCGGACGCTTAGGGGACGGAAGAGCGAAACCTCACCACACCAAGCTATGGGTGCAAGCATTACAATAGATGCCACATATCATTAGAAAGGAATGCATTTCATTATCATTAGAAAAGGGCATCCCAACCGTGAACAAGCATGTTCCTAATATAAGCGGAGTTATCAACACGAACTCTCGTCTCCAATAGGCCCAAGAAACCAATGCTGCGCTTCTGAATGACTCTTAAATCTCTATCCACTCCTATGTCTGGTACAAAAAGGAAGATTCTATTCCATCGATTAATCAAAGAAACGATATGCTCCTACTGAAGTTAGCACTTTAGGAGGTAAACGTCCCTCATTGAAGGAAAATCTTTCCATTTTTCGGTACTTGGACAGAGCCTAAGATGATGGGTCAGAGTCGAATGGGTTAGACCCCCTAGGACAGTCAAAATAGCTTGCTCTTGCTTGGGAGGAACGTTATACGACTTAAAAGACAGATGCTGCTGCAATGTTTTGAAACGATGATTATTGTCTTGAAGTGAAGCACGCATTCGGTTGAGTTTTTGAAGCCCTATTGTTCAGTCAAGGCGAGGGGAAAGGGAAGGTGAAAAAAAAGTAATGCTGCAAAATGCTATCCTGCTCTATTGTTTCGTAGCAATAGAAGCCTGCTCATGTTGCTTCGGCGGCGCCTTTTAGCCTTCTCTTCGCTCTGGGGATCACTTCTTATGAACTCATTGAGAATGATTCTAATCTAGTTCATTGCCTATTAGAGGTAGAAGGGATTCTAAATAATATTATACCTGAATAAAATCATGACAAATCATGTACTTTTTTCTAAAACTTTTGAGCGTTGTGCTTGTCTACATACGAAATGAAAAAACTAAAAAGAAAAAGGAAATTAAATATGTCATTGAAATTTTAAATCTTTATATTTATGCCACTAAATTTTAATAGAAAATATTTTTCTGATGAATTTAATGGTATAAGTTTTAAGTCTTAATGAAAATATAGCATCATTTTAGTGGTATTTTGGTATTTATCTCACAAAATGATGACTTTTAAGTTCTTTATTTAGAAATGCCATTAATTTAACAATATTGTCAATCTATTCATTTATTTTTCTTTAGGAAATAATCTATTCATTTATAAATGAAAAGACATTCGATTTTTATATTGGTCAAAATGCAAACAATCGCGCTTCTTTGCTTGCTCCAATCAATATTGTAACGACTTTGAGGAATAAAATACCAAAAGTGATAAAATTGACATTGATAATGAGTATTCTTTTGACTTAGACGAATTGGACATTTCATGGCTTGACAATAATGATACTATAAGGAACCAGGACTTTTAGAGACTGTTGATCAAAAATTGGAGTGTGCTAACCATTGTAACCAAAACTTATTAGAGTTTTGAGGAATAAAAAACCAGAAGTGATGAAATTTAATGACCATGAGTAATCTTTTAATTTAGAGGAGTTGGACGTTTCATAGCTTGGCAATAATGATGCTATAAAAATCAGGGCAATTGGAGACTATTAATTAAGAATTAAAGTGTGCTAACCACAGCGTTTTGGTTTTAGTAAGGTATGAAGGTCAATGTAAACTATTAATCTTCTAGGTAAAATATTTGATAGAAAACGTTCTCATTTCTTTTAAATATGGGATTCTTGTAAGTTTAATTATTGAAGTAATAACACGATAATGAATACGATTAAAATCTCAAAAATTGCACAACAATTGGTGTGCATCAGTGATAATAGCATGTCATCATTCCCTAGTTTGACAGTATATTTACCGATGAACAACCTCTTGTAATTTAATTCAAATCGTGGTAGTTTAAACTTTTTGTGGCTTGAAATGGGAAGCTTAAAACATGTGGTTTGAACTTTTGCTTTAAAACATTAAAAATAAGAGGGATGGAAAACTCAAAAGTCTTGGGTTTTTTTTTTTTTCTTATTCAAACATTAAATCATTAATTTAAACTGTCTCAAAAAATTTCACCATGACGTTAGTAGTAGATGTACCAAGGGCTCCAAATTAACATTTTTTTGGGCTAATCAGTTTCAAACACCTTAGTAGGATTTCAGCTTCTTTTTGTTTTGTTTTGTTTTTTTTTCAACTGACAGGAATTTCAGCATGTAGTTCCCTGAGCAGTGAGCACACTAGAACGCTATCATTCATGTAATGCCCGATGACCCTAATGGAGAGGAACAACTGATTCCTACCAGTCTTAGAATCAAGAATGAAATCTGATTTATTAAAATAAGAAAACATAGATATTGAAATCCAAAGATAATGAAATCCAAAAGTGATTTCAAGTTTGAACATCAGTCATTATGATTGTGAACTCAAAATTTTGACAACATGATCGGAATCGAACTTGAAATGAAAAACAAGCCACTGTTCTCTGAAATAAATCTTATCCAAGAGACCATCTGGCAATTGAACTCACAACCGTCTACCTCTCCTGCCACCCTTTCTACGGGTGCTATCGGTTGGAATCGGAGTGACGTCCTCTGGCAGACAGAAAAACAAAGCACATTAAAAAGAGGACAGAGACATTCTCCCGCAGTAAAAGAAAAGACAACAACGCACTTGCAGCAAAATTATCTCGTGTTAGAATGCACTTTGAAGTGAAAAGAGAGAAAAGGACTTCACCTATGCGACCGATTCTCATGCCTGAACGAGCGAGGGCTCTGAGAGCTGATTGAGCACCTGGACCAGGAGTCTTCGTCTTGTTCCCTCCTGTGGCCCGCAGCTTTATGTGCAAAGCAGAAACACCAAGTTCCTGTTATAGCCAATATTAGGAACCATTAACAAGGCCGATAGTTTAAAAAAAAAAAAAAAACTAAAGTTTTGACTCAATGTAAAGAACATACCTTGCATCGCTGAGCAACATCTTGTGCTGCAAGCATGGCTGCATAGGGTGAGGACTCATCCCTATCAGCCTTCACCTTCATACCACCTGTTTAAGGACAATGGGACACATTATATTATATACATGTCCAGTTCATAGGTTTGAACTACAAAGTTCGAACAGAAATTTAAATTTTTATGGGAGAAAATATTATGGTAAAATAGTTTGAATTGTAGTTCAAATATATGAAGCAAACAGCCGCTATGCAAGTTCGCCACCAATAGAAAATAATGTATATATTATAATCTATGCAATGAGTGCCCAAATTACAACAGTAACTAGACTATTCCCACAAACAAGGTCAACTGAAGCTGAAAATACACGATAAAAACACATTTTAACCATGAGCATAAGGGTAAAAAAGTTTGAATTGTAGATCACATATATGAAGCAAGCAGCTGCTATGCAAGTTCGCCACCAATAGAAAACAATGTGTATATTATAATCTATGCAATGAGTGCCAAAATTACAACAGCAGCTAGGCTATATCCACAGAGAAGGTCAACTAAAGCTGAAAATACACGATAAAAAAACAAATTTTAACCATGAGCAAAGGGGTATCATACCGGTGATGCGGACCAACGTCTCCCTTCCAGACAAGTCGGTCACATGCTGCAATTAGGAAGATGAAAAAGTTTATAAATAATAGACCAGCAAATATGAAAACACCATAGCAATGATATGGAACTTACAAGGAAAGTGTCATTGAATGAGGCAAAGATGTGAGCAACCCCAAAGACATGCTCTCCTTCTCTAACAGTGGGTCCAAGAGTAACATTTTCCTCCTTGGGCTCTCTGTTCTTCCTTTTCGACTACAAAATGAATGACCCGCCAAAACATCATCATGAGAAACTTTAAGGCTTCGTTCGTTTCACATTTGAATCACAACTCAAACTTTTTGCTATAGTATTTTCTTTCACAAAAGTTCAAATTCAACTTTTCTGCTACAATGTTTTATCTCACATGAATTCACTTTTCAACTCAAGTTCTCAACTCGAACGAGCAAAACGAACCCCCTAAATCAATGTATCATGTTTCAACAAAAAAAGGATTCAACTAATTGTCACTTCTGGCATGTATTGGTTCGGATTCAGGAGTAAATAATTGCCATTTTCCTTCCCTATTACATTGATTTCTCTATTGCCAAATAGAAATGTATCAACATTTATATACTACAGAATTCACATGAATAATGTTTGAACAAAAAGACTAAAATTTATTAGCTATACATTATCTACGATTAGTTCTCTAGGGATGTGAAAAAGTCAGGAATAATAAATTGCAAATTTTCTTCCCCATCAGTTTTTTTTTTTATTTTAAATATTCTGATTACTCGGAGCCAAACAGAATTTAGCAACATTTATATCCTACATTAGCACATTTCATTCTAGAACTCAAAAGCCTCACCTATTCCAGAGGAAAAAAAAAAAACCTTACTACTTCATCACAAACAATTTCTGCAAATATGGACAAAAGGAAAACGTGTTTGGCTGCCGAGAAAACTAGAAATTTTTTTCTTCTTTAAAACGGAATAAAAAGAGAAAATAATGGCGCTTACCATGGTTAAACGCTGATTTGAGAGAGAGAGAACTATACTCGGTGTTCACTTTGCAGAGCTTCCAAATCCTCAGCCCTCAAAATGCCGGCCGTAGGTACCTTACTACCATGTTTATATACTTAGGACTGAAATGACTCTAATGCCCTTTTTGAATAATAATTTCTTGTTATAATTTTGTGTTTTCTTTTTTAATATTAGTTTAGAGAGATTATTATTACACAATCAAAAAAAGAAGAGAGAATATTATGTAAACTATTCATCCAAAGAAAATACTTTTTTTTTTCATAATATAATATTTTGTTAACAAAAAATTAATTTTTCATATAATTGAAACAAAAGGTGTAATTTGAAGAAAATCCAGTAATTGACCCTTTTTTCAACTTCTGTTATCCTTCTCTACTAAAATACAAGCTCTAAATATCTTAAAATTGAAGAGGAAAAAAAAAGAAACTATTTTCTTTTCTGAAATTCGAGAGTAATCCCACTAGTGGTGTCAAATATATATATATATATATATAGACACACACACACATATATATATATATATATATGCGTGTGTGTCCTGGATTTCTTTTTTATTAATTCTAGAATGAATTTTAAAAAGTTCAATATTAGATTGATGGTATAATTTGATTCAAGCTGCTCTTAATAGTATTATTTGTTTATTTATTTACTTTTGAGAAGGCTTAATAGATATTAGGATTAATTTCAAAACTTCTCCCTGAATTATAATCGTTGTAACACTTTATCTATCGAATTTCAAAACGTAACATCTGATCCCTTGAACTTTGTTTTGTTAACAAATTTGCCTCTTCCGTTACACTGAATGACGAATTTCGTCACGTGTCTATTATTTAGTGAAATTTGAAAGTAAAAATATGCTTATACTCATATTCGTTTAGAATCACTGATAACGGAATGGGCATTATTGCATCAATTTATCCAAAACTAGATCTCATGATTCTTCTCAAAAATCATATTCTAAGGGAGAGATCTGAAAAATTTTCAAATCATTTCAAACCATTTCCACCTCCTCCGACTCTGAGTTTGCTCTCAGATCGGGTGGAGTTGGCGTGAGCAAAAGCAAACATGAACGGTCTGGGCACCAATGCTGAAGCCATAGCAATCATCTTCTTTGGCGGCACCACTCACAAAGGTCGACATGCGTTCGTCGAGACCCCAATATCTAAATTTTTTTTCTTCGTCATCATCAACGTTATTAAGTTGAACTATTACTTATGAGTTTTGTGTATTATCTGTAAAGTTGAACTATGTGCAATGTAAAATATGAATCCATTAATAGATCTAAAACCCAACCATTTGAAAAGAAAGTGCCCAGCCAATCTCTTCAAATGAAGAGATGGGTCCTTTTTTTTTCCTTTAATTTTTCCCTTAAATGGTGGCTTCATTCAAGCAAACCCAGAAGAAATGCCCAAAGCCAATACAAAACCCCAGAAGGGATGAAAAGTGAGGAAAAAAAAAATGAAATCCAGACACAAGACAACTTTTATTTATCGATCTTATTCATCTTTCTGCTAATTACGAGAAAGATATATTTGTCAATTCTTTAATATCCAGATAGCAGCGAATTTCAAAATGTTTTTGGAGCAAATCTTAATTTTTTTAATAACCTGATAAATTAATGTATTTTAATCTTTTTTTAATAACCTGAGGTTTTTACGTGATATTTTACAATATTACCCTCTTCAGATGGGTTAAATAATGGACACGTAACAAATTTCGTCACTCAGTGTAATAAAAGGGACAAAATTGTTAACGGAATAAACTTCAGAGAAAGCGGATATTACGTTTTGAAATTCAGAAAGTAAAGTGTTACAAGGGTCATAGTTCAAGGGAAATTTTTAAAATTAATCCTAAATATTATAATGTCACCATTCTTCAAACGAGAGATGGACTTGTTCATTTACACATTGGTTAGAAGTAGATCCCACGATATACCACAGAAAGATACAAAAACTTGAGCAAAAATAACATAAGAATAACATCAGTTTTATTAAGGCATTATTCCATAAGAATTGAAGTCAGAAAAAATAGAATCATGGATCCACATTCACCCAAATTACAGATAAGTGAGAAAATAAAAGGCAAGACATGGAGCATGATTCTCTCAAATTACAGAGTTGTGTTTCTATGGTAGAAAACAAGCAACTTAGACCACAGAAAGGTCAAAGGGAAGCAATCCTAGGTGCCACAATCTCAAGAAGACCTCTGGGATTGTCCGCATGAACCCAGTGACCCGACTTCGGAAGAACATGAACTGCAACCTTCCCCTCAGAGCCACCTCTTTCTCGAGCGGCAAGGCTTTCAAGCCGCTGAACGGTATCAGGGTCCCAACGATCACTGTTCTCTGCACGCACAATCGCTATTTCCATATCTTTTGGTGGCTGCTCCAATAGAGACCAATAAGACCTCTCCCTAGAAAATTTTTATGTTCCTTGTTAGACAGTATATCAAATGGAAAAGATGGCACTGGAAAGGCAAAGGAACTTTCATTAATGTTTGGCCATGGCAGTTTTCAAATTAAGTAAGTTTTACCTGTAAGACTTGAACATCTCAACTGCGGCATCAAGATTAAAGGCCCACGTCTCCCGATCTCCAGATTTCTTGAGGTTGCTGCCTATCCATTCTGATAATGACTTTGAGAACCCAAGTTCAACCATATGATTCACAAGCCACCTAAAGGCAAAAACAGCATTATTGCAAAAGACATGATAATATTGTATGCGAACTAAATGAGCCTCGAAGGCTCTTTACGAAGAGAAAGAGCGTTACTTTCGTGATGGAACCGTCGGAGGTAGATTCTGCAAGGTGTGCAAGACTTTTTCTACTTCTCCATCACTATATTCAGGGCTAACATCTCCTGGAACGGAATCTAGCACCCACAGCTGTTCTGCATCAGGAAATAAAAAGAAGGGGCAGAAAATTTTTCTTATGCACAAGACAAGGAAGCATTGTCCCTCAACAAGTGACAAAATTTAATTTAATCTCTGCAGTGAGAAAGCTGGCCTAATCAAAAGGGCTCAACCATTCAGGAAATTATCACTAAGGTCTAGATTCCCCACATACACATTCAGTCTCGCCTTCATCGATTTATAATGATCAAACATTTTAGGAAAAATGTCTGATCACTATAAATTGATTGGACGAGGGATTTCGATTCTTTAAAGAACCCCAGTTTTAATCTCTCCCCGAAAAGATTGAATCCATACCAAGCATAACAAAGAAAGATCCTCCCTTTCCTCTCCATGTTCCTCGCATACGTTGTATACTAATTTTTTCTTACTATATTTCTTTTCTTACCAAACGCAGCCATAGCGTTGGATAATCAAAAGCCAGAACTATAGAATGAACCTCGAACGCAAAAATTTACCATGACAACGTTATTTCGCATGCTAATTCAGATTCAACAGACGAAATTTCTTAATTCAAGAGCATATCTTAATCTTCCTACAAAAAATCCAATCATGAGGAGCGAAAAAAACAAAAAAGTGACAACCATTGAAGCTAGGGGCAAAGGAAAGACCTGTTTAGGTAGCACAGCAGATTCGCCATAGTCGCCACGAGCACAGCTCTCGGCGTATTGGAGAGCGACCTTACCACCCAGGGAATGGCCCAAAACAACATCCGGCCATGACCAACCTTGAGACTTGACCAAGTCGGCCAAATCCTTGGCTGCATTGGTCAGGTCATGAGGTGGGCCCAGACCCTGGAGAGCGACCTTACCACCCAGGGAATGGCCCAAAACAACATCCGGCCATGACCAACCTTGAGACTTGACCAAATCGGCCAAATCCTTGGCTGCATTGGTCAGGTCATGAGGTGGGCCCAGACCTTCAACCTCAGCCGATTTCCCATGGTTCCTTAAATCCACAAGCACCATTCTCCAATCTACAAAACAAACACCAAAAAAGCTCATCAGAATTCAGAAAAGGAATTGCTTTTGGAGAACAATTTTTTCGAGTAAATTCTAGAGGGAGAGAGAGAGAGAGAGGAATATACCGAATGGAGAAGGGAGGGTGGAGAGGAGATTGCGGGAGAAAGATCTCCAGTTTCTGGCGGATCCAAGGAGGCCGTGAATTACGATAGCGGTGGATTGGTAGGGTTGGTCGGGTGAAGCTCGGAGCTCTTCGAAGGCAAGGGTTCCGGCGGACCTTGACTGAGCCGCCGGTGACAGTAAGCTCAGAAACCGAAACAAGAGTGGGTGGAGACCCGGTTTCTTTCGCAGAAGACTTGTCGCCATTGAAGCTGCGTTTGGGCTCTCTCTCTCCCTGGGAGTTATAAAAAAAAAAAAGTTGAAAAGAATGTGACAGCTGTGGGATTTGAACCCACGCCCTTTCGGACCAGAGCCTAAATCTGGCGCCTTAGACCACTCGGCCAAACTGTCGCTGTTGTTACTTTGGTTCGCATTTATTTAATAAATGAAATCCAAATTCTGTTTTACCTATATATAACAAAAAAAGGAAAATGGGCAATATTCAATTGAGCTCTTTTGTGGGTGTGTGTTTGTTTTTATAAATATTCAATGGAGCTCTTTTAATTAGTCTAAAATCAGGGAAAAAAAAAGGAGAATATGAGTTCTTTCTTCTAAATATGTGAGTTAATAATGAAAAAGGGGGAAAAAAAAAACAGTTTCTTTGAATCTGTTGAACAAAAGCTTTACTTTCATAATTCTGAGTGTTTGGAGTAGGGAGTCCATGGGAATGGATTAAATAAGTTGAACATCCGAATTATTCAAGTTACATAGAAAACAAACAACCAAGAAAAAAAAAAGATTAATCTTGCTAAGTAATTGTTGTTGATCAGTCAAATGGATCTATCCGTGGATCATGTTCACTTGCCATTACCATTCCAGTGCACAGGCAGGTCGGACACATAACCTACATGAACATACAAAGATGATTAATCAGTGACCACCCCAACATATCAAGCAAATTAAAGTTGATTTGGTTTATAGATGTTTGCATAGTCCATGAAGATTCGATTAATTCACTTTTCATGAAATAAGCCGCTTGCTAATTTTAGTACCTTTCCGGCACCAGAGCAATTTAGACACCTCTGTGCCCCAGGCACTCGCAAAGGGCAGTCGGAATGACTTGACGCTGAAATGGAGTCAATTCTCAAGCATATACCACTTGCAGAACATCTAGCACATGCCAAGTATCCTGTGTCGATCCATACATGAGCAGGCAAAGAATAAATTCGAACTTCAATTGAAAGAATGAACAGGCAAAGAAAATATCAAAGAGAAGTATGCAATGCAAGGAGAGGTCATAGGGTATGAATCAATTTTAAAAATTTTAAAAAAAATTACGTGAACAAAATGTCGTATAAAGAAAAAGAGGAAGAACCCAATATTTTCTTTTCATGGATGCCAAATGAAGCAAACGAATACAGACCAGTTCCATGGCAGTATTTGCATCGTTTACTCTCTTGTTGCTCAACATTATTGGCTTCGATTAGCATTAAGGCAGAAACGACACCAACTGCCCCGCCTGAAAAAGACGCCACAATGGGATCGACCTGACTGAGCTCAGAAATGAAAAACAGCAATTCAGGATTCTAAACTATTGCAAATCTACACTTCAAAAACAAACAAAATTTCTGCTTGCTTCAGGTTTTTGAACTTGCTAACAAAGAAGAAAAGAGCGGGTAGAGTAACCTCAATTGTAAAGGCAAATGCATGCTGCGAATAAAATCTTCGTATGATGTACCCCCTAAACCTAGTTTTAGTTCCAGCTGCCAAAGAAGTAGACATATAAGAAAGAACCCAGTTCAGAAAAATCAACCCTCATTTTTTTTTTCCCTTTAATGAAGACAACTCAAAATAGAGGCAATATATTAAAACTTAACAAAGAAAGTAACAACAATAGCATATTAGAGATAAAGTAGATTAGAAGCCAAAAACAGACAACTATAAGAACTTACTGTTGGTGCAATAAGGCCTCCAAATACAATTATACCAGAAATAAATGATAAGCTGGTCAGGTATAGCTGCTTTAATGTCTTTGGTGTCTGCCAAAAAACAAAAACAAAAAACAAAAAGTTGTAGAAGCTAGCCAAAAACTAGGGAACCCATTCCTTACAAAAACCACATAAATCACAAGAATTTCTTTAATTTTCCTTCTTTTTTCTGTTGGAAGCAGATAATTGAACAGAACAAAGAGACGCCATTCAAAATCAAACATATGATGCATCCATAGGTCAAACTTCTTTACAAGCAAAATTTATTTCCCAAAATCATCAATGGAGAATCCAAGGACGTATATATATATATATAT